TTGCCTAAGCATAGCCATTTTTGCTTAGGCTGACATGCTTTGAATCTAGCACAGGTTAGATATAGATAGGTAAATTTCCAATAGGCAGGTTTTAGGAAGCGTTCAGACATTTTACTGCAGGTCAAGCTGGCAGCCTACCCTACCCCCTTGGCAAATCTCCATCAGAAACAAGACAAGGACAGTCCAACCATTCAACTCATGGTTTAGCATAATCTCTAGGAGACTTTCAGGTTTCTTGTCAAAGGTGGAAATTCAAAGATCACCTCTTAGCAGGCTGAAGCCATAGAAATGATAATAAGACTACCTTTTTTGCTAAGGAGATTATGGATTGAAAACATCTGACAGGTCTCTTGCAGTAAAAACTCCTCCCCTTGTCTCCTCCCATCTAGCCTACCACCATGGCAGCAATCATGTGACAAACCCACCCATCTGCCTGCCATCCATCACCTGACATCAGTACCTGTGCTTACTTGCCCCTTCGTGATAATGTGGAGCAGATCACCACCCAATCATCTTAATAACCCTCCCCCATCAAAGGGAAGGATTAAAAGGACTCGACCACAAGCAACTGCAGCTATTGCTGGCCATTATGGCCACTGCCTTGCTAAGTTATGATATGGCCATGTGCTCTTTGAGTTACAGTCGGGTCATGTTTCCTGGCTTTGGTCCCCTTCTTTATCTTGGGGAGGTGAATCTCCTCTTTCTCTCTCTTTTAAATTTACTTTCTAAGTACACTATATTTTCTAATCTAAGTTCTGTGTAATTATTTGCATCTTTCTCGCATCACCAGATCGCATACCAGACACCCACACCCCCAGAGGGCCTGACCTAACTGGAGGTTCCACTAGGAGTGTGATCCTAATATATAGCCTTGACCTCCTGGGTTTAGGTGATCCTTCTGCCTCAGCCTCCTAAGTAATAGGGACTATAGGTGTGTACCACCATTCCCGGCTAATTTTTTTTTTTTTTTTTTGTAGAGACAAGGTCTCGCTATGTTGCCCAGGTTAGTTCTGAACTCCTGGGTTCAGGCAATCCTCCCAAAGTGCTGGGATTACAGATGTGAGCCACCACACCAAGCCTGGGTCTGATTTTCAATGCATGACTTTTCCTTTAACTTGCTGGAGACTTAGGGTTATTTTATTATTAGCACTCATCTCTTGACATTCCAAGAGAAGCGTCCCTTGGGAAACATTTGCCAAGTTGTCTTTCATACTACTTCTCCAAGTCTCTGTCCACAAGATCCACTGAGTACAGCAACCATTTCCATGAAGTTCTTGAAACCTCTGAATATATGGAAATTTACTTTTCCGAAATAATATGCTTTATTTTACTAATCGCTTTAGTTTCCTCTAGAACTTGAATGTGAACATCTTCTTTTATTTATTTATTTTTTTTGAGTTGGACTCTCACTCTTTTTTGCCCAGGTTGGAGTGCAGGGGCACGCTCACCACCACTGCAGCCTCGACCTGTTGGGCTTAGGCGATCCTTCCGCCTCAGCCTTCCAAGTAGCTGGAACCACAGACACAAGCCACCACGCCCAGCTAGTTTTTTGTGATTTATTGTAGAGACAAGTCTCACCAAGTTGTCCAGGCTGGTCTCTAACCCCCAGGCTCAGGCAATCCTCTCGCCTTGGCCTTCCAAAGTGCTGGGATTACAGGCTGAGCCACTGCACCTGATCTAGGCATCTTCTTAACACATTCTTCACATTCTTACTTTACTTTGGACACTCAGCTTAAGATGAACGCTTAATAAAATACACTCAAAACTCCCATTTTCTACATTTTTTGTGAAAGAATTGTCCCACTGGGCTGATAGGGGTCAAATCTGGGAGAATTTTGTGAGAATCCCTGGCCTGAGAGTAATGTGATCAGATTTGTACTTTAGAAAAATTATCTGAAAAAGAAAAATGTCTGGTGACAGAAAATAAAATGTTCATATACACGCATGCATGGACGGGGTACAGCATTGGGTGAGAAGTTGAGGGGCATGCCTTCAGTCATCTAAGTGAGAAATCATGAGATCCAACCAAAGCAACGTCAATGGTCAGAA